CTGCACATAAAACACAGCCTTGTGTGTGTTTAAATCAACGGTACTTTTTCTTTTTTAAAGATTTTATTTGTGAGTGAGCGAGAGAGAGTGTGAGCACAAGCAGGAGGAGGAACAGAGGGAGAGGGAGAAGCAGACTCCCCACTGAGCAGGGAGCCGACATGGGGCTCAATCCCGGGATCATGGCCTGAGCCGAAGGCAGACACTTCACCGACTGAGCCCCCAGGCGCCCCTCAACCGTAACTTTTAAGGCGTGATTTCCGTCCCTGCTGCTGTTAGGAGGCTCACTCCCAGATTATAAAAGCCTTCATATTGTGGGCTGCATGTGTTCACATCTTCAGCAAAGAAAACAGCTCTGCAAATAAGGACATAAACGCCTATTTCCAGCTTTAAAATTTGTAGCAAAGCAAGATAACCTGAGAGACTAACCCATCTGGACCATAATGAAAGTCACCTTTGCATTTTATCTTTTGTGCTATTTTACTGAATGCTTTTGGCCTATCGACCTGGCAGGTCTAGGAAGGAAAAGGTACTTAACATTCCAAATCTCTTCATGGAAATGGTGGACGTTGTCCTTCTGGCCAGAAAGCCAATTCACGGCCTCCTGCGTTCCCAGAAACAAAATACAAAGCTCCAAACCAGATGCCCACTCTTGGCCCCCAAGGTCAAGTAAAGGACGGTTTGAGGCGACAGAAAGCTCCCCGCCAGCACCACAGGGCCCGCCTCGGCTCGCTGCCAACTCGCTGGCCCCAATACACCCACGCTCTGCCCCCCAGCTACAGACTCGAGGTTTTCAGTGTTTTCTATAATTACAGACTGCGGGGAGGCTTCCTCATTCAGTCTTATCAAGCAAACCAAAAAAAGAATTTCTATGAAAATATGTAAATACTGTAATTGAGTTTGGGATATTTTGCATCAACTACAGATGTCTCAAGATAGAATTTTCCTTCCAGCTCATTCACTTTTGTTAGAAACGCTTCATTTTCCCAAAAAAGAAACACTCCTAAAACGAAGAGCATATCTTATTGCTAAGAAACACAGAATTCCAAAACACTCGCACACCCACGGAGAACTGAAGTCAACGTCCGTGCAACAGGCCCCTGTTGTATAACCCAGACCTTCCAGGGCGACCTCTGACTGCGCCGATTACCTTCCTCTTGTGGAGGCCAAGCAAGGACTCAGGACAACACTCACTCCAATGGCCCAGAAGTCTCTGGGATTAAACTGAGGAGCTGGGGCGAGTGACGACCCGTGTGCTCCTACAGAAGGACAGAGGAGTCGGGGCACAGCAGGCTCAGGTGACAGGCAGCCGTGGAAGGGCATTCTCCCCAAGAAACACAGGAGGGCAGCTTCACCCCACGCAGCTCCTGGACCAGAAAGAGTCCCAACAAGGACGTCCTGTCGCAGATGCGGGGTCACACGTCTCACGTGATTGCATGGCACAGGGTCTCTGTGAAGAGCAGCAGGGGCTTCGGGGCAGAGGGCTGTGACCAGGAGAACACGTGGACGCTGCCAAGTGGATACCCGTCGCCCCCTCGGGCACCACCAGCACCTTACGTGACAGCCCTGACCTCAACGGTCACCTCGCGGATTCTCCCTTATTGTTCCCACGCAGGATGCGTGTTTCCCAGTGATTATGGTCTAAGGTTTAAAACACTTAAAAGCTGCACTTAAGATTGGAGAGCAAAAGTCACGGCTTTCTTCCCTTTTCTTGGATCAGAGAAGAATCAACCAACCAGCCAGTGGCCACAGAGGAAGGCGGAGGCAGACCTGGGAGGCCCCGATCCCGTGGCCCCAGGACCTCCAGCAGAGCCTGCAGGGCCTTGCGCAGATGGGGAGCTCCCGGCGTCAGGCCCAGGAAAGGGCGAACGGGTGGCTTCCTCAGGAGTCCGGGAACGCTGCCCCCTTTCAGAGGCCGCACAAACCTCAAGTTCACGGTCAGCAGCTGACACGGCCCAGGGCGGGCGCGATCCGGGGGAGTGGGGCTGTGAACACCGCCCACCCCATTCGGCGGATGAAACGATGCCAGGCTTCAACATGGCTCTCTTCTGAACATCTAGCCCTCCCAGCACTTTTCTCAGGGAAATCCTCCTCCCCGGAGATTCTGGGGACAAAGTCCGTGCCTCCCACAGAAGCTCCCAGGGCTGCTCTGGGCACCGCATCAGTTCCTCACCGGTCCCACTGGCCAGTCCCCAGTGCAGCGGCGACAGCCCACCAGGGGCACAGATGCCGCTGCCGGACTCGAGGGTGCACGGGGCCAGGGAAATTCAGAGCTGCCGGGCACCTGAGGCCGTGGCAGGCAGGACAGACCACGTGCGCCCCCGAGTTCACCCTGGTGGGGCGGGGTGGGGGGCAAGGAAAATCCCAAGTTGATATTTCTCATCTAAAATATAATGAAGCACATTGAAAGACGTTTAAAATGCCATTCCTGTTTTCAAACCGGACTCACAATTTCCATGGGTGTGACTTCGGGCGCGGAGCCCTAGGAATTTTAAGAACCATTGTGAAGAAGCTGCCTGTGGCACGTGCGTCGCGAAGTGTTAGCCAAAAACCTCTTTCCCCGGCCTCTACAGACAGGAACCCAAACCCTTGAGCCTGCTGGGGATTCAATACTCCTCCCCCAAGCCTCACTTCTCGTGTAGTGCAAAGGCCCAGCAGCATGCTTCTCTGCACTTCCGCCTTCTTGGAAGAACCACCACGTATGAAAACAAACCCACCCACGGAACATTATTCGCTACGTCAGTGATTCCTTCTTCACATATTAAAAAAAATGTTACCCACCGCTAAAGAAATCTTTCTCAGAAGCAAAGGGGAAAGAGTTCAATTTACACACGAGGAACTTGGAGGTTGCCTTGGCACGGATTTTTCATTACAGCATAAATACGAACTTAGTCCTCCAGTGAAATATGCAAGCCTTCCTAACAGTGGTCATTAAAACAGAAAGTCGTGCTCTCTCGTGTCTAGAGGCCGGTGCCCTGGTGCGTAGACTTCAGTTTAGGGAGTTTCTGGGCCACAGACACCTGTAATAATTCAAAGTCTTCACATCTATGATTTCTTCGGATTTAACAGAAATAACCAATAAATGTGGCCATCATTCCTTTACATCCTAAGTCGCTATGATCATGTCACAGACTTACCCTCTCGTAAAACCGGTTACCTTATAAAGAAAAACTACTTAGAAAGGCAGGTCAATTCACACAGCTTGTACTGGGGCAGTGTGTGAAATGTGTGTCCTTCCCAGAAGACCCCGGCGCCCAACGTTTGCTGTCGTAGCCGTTTCTTTTCTAATCAGTCTTAGACTTAAGCTGAAGGCTTCACTTTTCTAGTATTTTTAAGATGTAAAAATCTCTTGATTCTCAAAAACTCTCTAGAGACAACCTAACGGGGACACGGGAAGCCCACGGCCCATCGGGATGTTGCCCCCCCCCGCACGGTGCTCAGTCAAGGAAACGTCCTTCCCTGGAGGGCTGCCCGCTCTAGCATCTTTGTCAAGTGTGCTCAGACCCCGGAGAAAGCTACTCGAGTCAGTGTTCTTCACCCCGTCTGCATGGCGCCAAAGGCCCCCAGAGCACTTCGTTCACATTCACAGCTCCTTACACATGCTCCAGGTCCTGACAACTTCAAGAGCACCCGAGTATAAACACTAAGTGACTTTTCAGTGACAAGTCAGAGGTATTAAGCATCAGCCCTTTGGATGCACTCTGGGGACCCCTTTCGCATCCCTTAGAGTTCTGAGGAGGCGTACGGACACAAATCCATCTTTCTAGTAAAAACAAAAACGGCACAACAACAACAGGTTTGGGGACTTGAAGTAAACGTTTTTAAGAAAGGGGACTACAAGACAGAGACATAAGGGATCAAGAGTCCCTGGAGCATTCTTTTGCACAGTGCGCTTTACGTGGTGCCGTTTTCAGGCTACAGGGTTATAAAGTTGTGACGCAGCATTCCTTGGTAAACTGTGCTCTGGAGGGTAACACTTAGAACCGAGAGGCCAACTCTTCACAATGGCACTGAAGGTACATACAGCTCTCAGGAGACACACAAGCTGTGGCTAGGCACGTTGAAAGGTTGCAATCTGTTACTTAATTCAGTCTTTTTTTTTTTTTTTTTTTTTAAGAATTTACTTAGCGCGCGCACGTAGGGGCAGGGGCAGAGGGAGAAGCAGACTCCGTGCTGAGCACAGAGCCCGATGCAGGGCATGATCCCACGACCCTGAGATCATGACCTGAGCTAAAACCAAGAGTTGGGCTCAACCAACTGCGCCTCCCAGGAGCCCCATGTTGCTGAATTCACTTCTGAATGGGAAATGACTTCTGGTTTGTAGATGAACATTGTGATTTCTACGTGCAGAGGAGCACGCACCTGAGACGGCTGACATTTTTGGAGGTGTGGACGGGGATATGCTGCAGGCGCCCACGGCCAGTAGAGAGGATGATGGAGAGAACCCCAGGGTGTGGTGAAAGCGGAAAGACAGGGCTTACTGTACCTCTAATGAAGACATCAGAATTTTAACAACGGAATCCAAATCAGTCAGCTTAACAGTGCCCCTGCTCACACGAAGGCTTCATGAAATCGGCGTACGAAACACCACAGATCAGACGTTCCTGTGCTTAAAATTCAGGGCTTGCTAAGGCCCTTTCACCCGCAAACTACAGAGAGGGAAACGGTAACTGTGTGAGTTCCCGTGTCTACCTGTAGAACGGAACAGTAAAATATTAAACCTCTGTCGTGCTCTTGACGGGAAGAGTAAGCCACCGTGCCGAGGCGGGCCAGGGGACACACAACAGCCATCTGAAACAAACAGAGGAGACGAGACACATGATCACGTCTTCCCTCTGTCTGTGTTACTCAGTATTTTCAACTTAGGAAATCTGGAAGGAACAGTGACGAGTTGTGTAAACTTTGGGGAGTGAGGTCCTGGGCTTTTCACATTCAGAAGAACTTATTTTAGAGCCAACAGATTATTTCATAGTGTCATCTAAGCGTCACAAACAAGCAACATGTATATACTGCAAGTTTATTTCAATCACACAAACGAAGTTAGCGGTAGGAAATGTAAATGAAACAGTACGGTAAAAATAGCAGAGAACCGAAAAATCTAAAAAGGAAGCACACCTAAAGCATGAGAATCCAACATTCATTAGTGTTTCATCTTCAGTTCGGATTGACACATGATGCTTGCAACTTGTGAACAAACTGTGAAATCACGACGATTACTCTGGAGAGATTTCAGCACCGGCGTTAAGATGTGTACATTCAGTTGGTTTGCAATGGACTGTTGGCCATTTACAGAGCGTATAGGACAGATTTGTCACGGGTCAGATCACAGTGTTGAGGAAAGAAGTGCCTTCCTGTCATCAGAAAGGACCCCCTGAACTGCACTCGGCTTCGGATACCCAGTGAGCACAGAGCACGAACACCATCGGCAGGACGGGCTCCAAGGAACATCACCTGCTAAGGAAAGTCACCTAAGCTTCTGCTTCCCGTTTTAGTTACTGAAATCTCTAACGATGACAAAACTGTCCCATAGGACAGTAAATGTGTACAGTGATTGGGAAGAACACGTTTAGCGATCCGGACGAACGTACACTGATGGAACGCGCTGTGACCCAGCACTGGCTCTGCCCTGTCACGCAGACATCCTGGGAGAATCGGGCCAAGGCACGAGACACCGAGTGCATACAACAGCTCCTCACTCAGATCCAGCGTGTTGCTCTAGTCTTTTCTCTGACTTTGGACCACTTGTACCCAGTATTCTATCCTACTAGAGACTAACTTCACCGACAAAATCAAGTGATTTCTCACCAGATTTATAGGGGACATGAGCATTTATACCATCCAAGTGTTTGCATAATCGAAAGGACAATAATAAAGATCAAAGTGCCTCCGATTTCTTTTAGAAGACAGGACTTTAGAGGCTTGCTGCAGCTTGAATGCCTTTCCTACTACTGCCTGACGATGAATGGTGGATACAAAACTGTACATGTGAATTATGATAGCTCATCCATCACAGATTAATCTAAAACTGAAGTCTCTACAGAAACAGGAACTATTTTAACAAGGAAAACAATTCCCTCACTCAAACCTTTTTTGAATGGTAAACTATGCTACCGACAAGCTCTGTCTGACCAACTGAGGTTACAAAATCTAGAAAGCAGATGAAAATGGATTATTTCTTCAAAATTTTAGTAATACTTCAGATAATCAAAGATTTCAAAGCAAATATGGCACATAACTGAAGCATAAATCAAGATGGAGAGCCTGGAGAATTTGTGATTTCCTAAATTAAAAAAAAAATCTACCATTGCAACATATAGAATTTCTCCCCTATTTTAATCTTCGTGAGTTTCCAGGAGAAGGGCGTGGGCTACACGTGCACACACATACGTGCACAGCACGTGCACACCCATGTGGGGGTGAGTGGACCACCTAGGTCCTTCTTCCCACCACCTGAGTCTTGCTCGGTCATGACAAGAGAACCACGCAGAGCCCCTCGCTGGTCCCCTCTGCCACGTGGTGTCTATGACCTCAGTTGCTGTGGACATCGCTACTCCGTGTGTTTCCATGTAACAAAATTCAAAAGCAGCTTCCTGGTCAGGAACATGTACCTGAACACCTGTCCAACTGCAGGGCACCTAGGTAGTAAATAACTGCCAAATTCAGGGATCGAATTTTCGAGTTCCACAGTACGATGTAATCCATGTGAAGCTCAGAATCATGTTTCAGACCACTGAAATTACTCAAGTTAAAATACGAACAGCTGAAGACATGATGTAAAAGATTGAGAACTTGGTTCTGCTAACATAGTTACCAATTAAAGTCACAAAATGTCCTCATTAGTATTCATGCAGGTCGTTGAGAAAACAAAGACAGTGCAGAAATGAACTTTAAAAGAAAAAATGATTCCTTCCTTTCCTCCCACCCCCCTACAGACTCTACAAAAGGTTTTCCCTGGGACCAGGCCTTGAAAAGGCCACTACGTATTAGTGGGACATGCATTACTGTCTGCAATTAAAAAAGCTAACTTTGTGGTGGTTGTAATTACATTATAAAAATGTCCACATGCATAAATCTAAAAAAGGTTGAAAACCTACAGTAAGTCTACAATATATTGTTTTACATTTGACCACTGGTGTGTATTATGTAGGAGTCAGAGATTTGGTAAAGCATTTTAACAATTTAGGAAGGCATCTAAATCTTTAAATTCTGGACGATTTTTATGTTTTAATCTACAAAATTGCATGAAGGCTAACTCGAGAGACTTCCTATCATTCTAAAATTCCTCAAGCCAGACAAATCATTTTTAAGACACTTTCTTATAAATATCACCCTTGGAAAGCACATACAATTCCATTTGTTGCACATTTTAGGATCTTAACCTACACAGGGCTGATCTCCATTCCTCACGGAATATCAAATGTGATAGGAAGACAAACCTGAGAGAAACATTTACAATACAATAGTGTAACTTGCTCAATTCTTTGTCAGCACTCTCTGAAAACAAACTTCTTAAGCCTTTCTCCTCTTTATTTTAGCAATGGATTGTGAAAAACGTGCGATTTTGTCTTGACATGAAAATATTTCAATGCACGGCGATCTTGCCTGATGGGTTTAGTATTTTCTGCATAACTATTGAACAGGAATTCGCATCCAGCTCTTCCATCCTATTGAAAAGGTCAGAAAAAAGCAGCAAACTGGGAGGGAAATAGCTTATCGCCAGAGTAACAGCGTCTGAAGGCTCGCGAGGATGTTGGTTTTCCTCCTTCCGACTGTTTGTCTCCACTGTCTTCATCACAGCTCACAAATGTAGGGGTTTGTTGTTGTTAACAGCTGTTGTTCGCAGGGGTCTTTCTCTTTTCCCCAGACTAAAGTCTTATTCCTCCTCGACTCGTCTCTCTACGCAGAATTGGACTTGCTCAGTTCTTGCCTGATTGCTGGGCACGAAAAGGAAACGTATTTCAAGTCAATACAACGATGAGGTAAAATCAATGAGTGATTCACTCCTAAGAAATCTCAGTGGCTGTCTTCAAACTCCCAGTAATAAAGAGACAAACGGACCCTGAATCTTACACTGTGCAGACCTGTGCTTTCTTGACACAAAGACGATACTGATTTATGTATGTGCAGGCGCACATTCACACACACACTTTCTCATTCGTGCTCTCCCTTTCGTGTGCAAAATGACAACACGGACTCTGTGGGCTCAGAGTCCACAGAGAAGGCAGCGAGGTGGGACACGAGGCCAGAGACGGGCCCATCCGCCGGGACTTCCATCTGACGCTACTCAACCCCTGACACAAAGGGACGTCGTTCGTTCCTATTTTCACAAATAACTTCCACCGTAAGAAGGAGAGGGCTCCTCCCTGACATCCTAAGCCAAGTGAAGGGCAGGATACTATGTAAAAGTAATTGTTTTATGCCCTCAAGTAATAAACTGGTTCTTTCTTTATGTGCATTTCCTTAAAAAGGGGTATTCTCAAACATTACAGGAATAGCAAATCTGTTCATATACTCACCATCAATGAGCTCTTCTTTTAGCTTTGTTAGTTCTTTTCTCATTTCATCTAAAATGTCCTAAAATATTAGAGAAACACATCAGGAATACAGAAAAAAAAATTGCCACTACTATATACATTCTTGGTCATATAGAATTTTAAGAATATACAAAGTTTGATGAATGGTCTGTGTTGCCGGAGTCCCTCCCAGACAAGGCTGTCTTAGAGCAGACTGGGCAATGATTCTATTTTAACAGTCTTCCAGCCTTTGCTTATTGTAGACGAGCAAAACATGAAACATTAGAATGCTCTGCCATCCAGTGAAAGGTAGGATTCAGGTAATTTCTAGAACAGGAATAGCTCTGCTTTCAACCTCGTCTTCTTGGAGCAGTCTGAAAGATGGCCCGTAATGAAATTTCAAGGAACAGGAGAAGTAAACTAGACGAGCAGATCCTGGCCAATCTGTGATCTGGTTTGAAGTATGGGATTCCTTAGGAATAACACCACAGCTGCCAAACCGTGCTTCTAGGAGTCCGAGACTCCCCTGGAGCGGCCTCACGGGCTGCCCTAACGGGTAGGACGAGGCTGGCTGGGCCCCTGCTGGACCTACACGGTCCGATCCGATGTGGCAGACACAGCCGACCACAGCCACCAAGCACCCGAGACGCAGCCAGTGTGAAATGAGATGTGTTGCTGGGGGGGGTAAAACACACACCAGATTTCAAAGACTTAGCGTGAAGAAAATAACGTGTAATAATGAGTAATTTTAAAACAGTGATTACTATTGAAATATTATTTTAGTTATATTAAGTTAAATAAAATATATTAAAATGAATTTCACCTATTTCTCTTCATTTAATATGGCTACTAGAAATGTTACAGCACTTATGTGATCCCTATTTGTATTCTGATTTAATAGTTCTAGATTCTCCTTCCTCCATGAAAACCACTCCACCTTCAAATATTTTGCAAAATCTGTTTTTGTAAGTTCATTTTGAAATAATGACATTTGAAATAAGGACAACCACCCTAACCCGAACCAAACTTAAAAAAAAATCACTAAGAACAGGGGCTCCTGGATGGCTCAGTCAGTTGAGTGTCTGACTCTTGATTTTGGCTTGGGTCATGCTCAGGTCACACTCAGCCTTGTGAGATCGAGCCCTGCGTCCAGCTCCGGGCTGGGAATGGAGCCTGCTTGGGACTCTCTGTCTCCCTCTCCCTCTGCCCCTCCCCACCCCAAATTACCAAGAACAATGTCACATGCCAGCTAAAAGGGCTTTGACAAGGTGATGTAATTTGAAGAATAACACCTCCCCTTTGGATGGATTACTTTCCAATATGTGACTTTCTTTATTACTGCACACCTCAGGTAAAATTAAATCGCTCTATTTAAGATTCATTTTCTTAAAAAGCTTTTCATGTTTAAAATAAGGTTGAAACTATCAATTAGTATAACTCCTCCACTTTACCAATGACGAAACAAGCACAGAAATTATTAGTACAAACTATCAGATATCCTTATTCAAATTATTAAAAGCAGCCCTAACAGGAAACCTTTCCTCTCTTCTCCACTACTTCAGATAGCCAAGAATTTACCACGTTTTCAAGTGTGTGCAAGCGTCCACTTTAAAGTGTTTTTCAAGAAAAGAAAGCCATGTTTAATATACAGGAAAATTAGGGCTTGATTATCAATGACCTCAAGCTTCCTTTCCAAACTATATAACTCAATTTAACTTTTCAAATAGCTTTGCAGTATAAAAATTGGATTTATCTGAAATTATTGTTAGTATTTCTCCCTTTAATTCATATTTGACTTTAATTTTGAACTCCTATGACTGTAACATGCTTGGTCCCTTTTTGAGCCCCCAGACATCTGGTAGCATTTAAACAAAGGAGTGACAGCACAGGGAACACAGGCTTTGAGGAAAGACCTCAGGGCTCTGATCCTGACTCAGCTACTGACCGAGCTGCGGGACTGAGCCATGGAATGAACGCCGCAGAACCTGGGTATAAGCACTGCCTGACCGGCCCTCCACGAGGGCGAGAAGGCAGCACTGTGCTAGGAGCCCAGCCAGCACCTGGCCCGCGTGCCCGCCGGCGGGTCAGCACGAGGCTGCGACGGGAGTGGTGTGGGTTACTGTTCTCAGAGGCCCCCAGGGCGCGGGGCCAGAAGCCCCAGGCCATCCTGCTCGCTGCAACAAACCTGGGTTCAGGTCCGCGAAACTGACCACTGTCTTACTAATGAGGTGTGTACACTGGGCCCTCCCTTTGAGTTTTTAACACTACCAATTTTGTTTTTAATTATTTTACCTCTTCTGGGAATAAAATATTTTAAAGCCCCACACATCTTCTCAGCTATCACTCCTTCCCTTTTTGTGTTTGAGTACCTACGTGTGTAATGCAGAGGTATCCAAAATATGGACAAGATCCTTTCCTTTTTCACCATTCAGGATTCAATACTCTCATTTTTGATTCCTTAATGACTACGGGGCCCTCCCCAACACTACAGATTTATATACTTCTGTAATATTTTCTTATTAGAAAATAGAAGTGGGTTCAAAGGTAAGATACTTATTTTTAAGGCTTGTGATCTGTTTTCTCAACTGCTTCTAGGAAATGAAAGTATATGAGAGTGCCCACTTCCCTCACGTTCTTGCCAAAACCAGATTCGCTGGGTCCATTTTTGCCAACGGTAAGCGGAAAGTGCAACCCCATTTTCCTTCTACAATTATACACCACGCACTGACATTTAAAGTTTGTATTATACCGTTAAGTCACCTGCCCCCACTCTCCACCACCGCTGGAACTTTACGTGAACACACTGACCCAAAAAATGAAGATTTGAAAAAAACAATACAGTAGTCATATCACTGTTTCATTTGCATAAAGACCTAAACTCTATATTCTTTTCCAGTACATTCACCACCCGTCAAATGCCAGCACACCAGACATTTTCCCAGAGACGCCAGCGCATGTGGAGGGAAAGCGCCTACCTGCTTCAGCCTGTCGTAGTCTAGCCCCTCCGTCTGGACGCCGTTGGCACTGGGCTGTGATGAAGGTGCAGATTTTGGTCTGTACAAATGGAATTTCCAGGACAGGTAAACAACACTTGGGATGTTTAAGAGTTTATAAAAAATTGCAAATTTACCAACCCGACACCAGGTTTCAGTACTTAAAACACAGATGTTAAAAAAAGTTAATTGTCAAAGTTGCAGGACTGATTAGAACAGAAAACAAAGTATTTTTCACTTTGCTCAATGTTTCCAGTTACTTGTAAACAAATCAGACAACGGTTGACGGGATGAAGACGCTTCTTCAGTAAAGGGCAGAGGAGCGCATTCTCTGCGCAGGAGGCGGGAAACGGGATCGTGTGCAGCACGCTGACGGAGACAAGACACGCCAGACCAGCTGCAACACTGAGGCCTGAGGAGTGCAATCTCGTTCTTCTGAAAGTGTGCAGAGCCTACTAAACATCTGGCAGACCAACCACTGAGATGCATCAGTTTACAAATTCAATGCCTTGGTTTATGGGATAAAACCATTTGAGTAATAAGCATGATTCATTCTATGTGTTTCATGCCATTTCAAGCATCCAAATAAATAAGAATGCTGGGGAAATAATTAAAAGTATATTCATATCTACTTGGCTATGTGGCTGTTTCCAGACTAGTTTTTATGGAGATGCCATCTGAATGATGTGTTTACAACTACTTTTGTTTAAAAAAAAAAAAAAAAAAATAGGGCTCCTGGGTGGCTCAGTCAGTTAGGCGTCTGACTCTCGGTTTCAGCTTGGGGTTGTGATCTCAGAGTCGCGGGACTGAGCCCCATGTGGGGTTCCACACTCAGTGGGGAGTCTGCTTGGGATTCTCTCTCTCCCTTTCCTTCTGCCCCTCCCCCACATGCACGTGCTCTAATAAATAAATCTTTAAAAAAAAAAAAAGGAGGGGCGCCTGGGTGGCTCAGTCGTTAAGCATCTGCCTTCAGCTCAGGTCATGATCCCGGGGTCCTGGGATCAAGCCCCACATTGGGCTCCCTGCTCAGTGGGAGGCCTGCTTCTCCCTCTCCACTCCCTCTGCTTGTGTTCCCTCTCTGTCTCTGTGTCAAATAAATAAAATCTTTAAAAAAAAAAAAAAGGAAATGCCACACAGCAGTTTGCCAATTATTACTACACATTCAGAAGTTTAGCTTCTATTAAAAATTCTACACGAAGAATAAGTGTTAGAAATTAGGTGTATTTTAAGCAAAAGTTTCAATATCAAATAAACCAATCATGGCTCCTCTCCAATTCCGGCAAGTAGAGGAAATCCCAGGGGAAAATCTAGAGTCTTAACTGGGCACTCCTCTATGTTCTGGTTCAGTATGGTAAGTGGCTACACTTTGAGGACCACAACTTGGTGCAGATGAAAACTATCAGCTGAGTCACATGTCTTCAGGTCTGCAGAGGACCAACATCACAAATCTGAACCAAAACTCGGTACGCACAGTAACTTTTCCAAGTTATGATTTCATAACTCTTACAAGGCATATTATACTCCAAACCCACAGGCATTGTTTGTGAAAATGAAATACTGAGCTAATCTGCTTTCATATCAAACATATGGCTGCTTAACAAGTTGTCATGTAAAGCAAGTCAACCAGTTTTATTTTATGAGATCTCTGCTGCCCTGCTTGGATGAACCAGGGAAAACAACTTTCAGAAAACTTCACTCAGTAAGCCCTGAGCTAGGCACGGGGGCGGGTGGGTGGTGGGGGAGACTTACTTACAGGACATATCTCCTTTCCTCTAGAGAGGATACACCTTCTCCCTTTGCTGAGGGACCAGCTGCATCCCCCAGTCACGGAGGAGGTACTGAGAGCCACGGCAGACAAGGCAGGTGTCCTGGGCACAGGCCGATCTGGGGAACACCCCTGACGGTCCACACGCTGTGTTTTATTTACCCACGCTCTCTGTTCCTGCTCGCCAGACTGACACTCCTAATTACTCTGCTTTTCTTTCATTTTTCACATTTAAGTGGTACAACCAGTGAATGCTTTTCTCCCAGGTTATAAAATGAACATCCCCAACATTCACACGAGCAACTGTAGTCCGCTAATTAACTGGCAGTATGTTATGAATATATCCATACTTATTAAACAATACAACACATTATTGTTACATAATAAACGATAGAGGAAACATGCAATTAAGAAATTTTAATTCATGCTAACATGCAATCCACCACCACCACCACCACCACCACCATGATAATTAACTAAAGGGGGGAACTTTTCATACTGAAGGAAAGAAGTAATCACCACTTTTTTAAAAAAGGTTTATCAACATTATTCTATCACGGGGCCCTACGTGGGAAAGCAGCAAGAGAACTGAGAAGATTAACAACAGAAAATCTCATTAAATGCTATTTTCCTATGTACTAGCAAACTTTCCAAGTAAGTCTTTTGGTGATGATTAAACCACCTGGAAAAAAGCAGGAAAAATGATTTCATGCGTGTAATATAAACATTTAATGCAGATTTAACTGGCTGACAAACTTATCAAATATTTTAATCATCAATGGCATGAAAGTAATTTGGCCAAATACAGTCTGCACAACCCCTGACTCACAGACACCCATCCATATACTATTTAAGTCATGCTCCCAGAAGACTTGGTGTGTATATTTAAAAATAGGTGCATATGATAACATGGGCAAACCTCGGTGACTTGTAATCTATGAGTTTTCACCATAATCAGTAACAAAGTATGAGGCCTTCCCAGAGATTTCTGTGTTACCTCTCAACAGCTGCCTATCAAATAACTACCACAATAAAGTCCCTGTTCCTCCAAATCAGTTCTAAATATAAGCTTAAACACTTGAGAACTTTTAAAAAATTGTCAATTTCTTTAATTAAGAAGGAAATACATGGTTCTTAATTTTCTTAATTAAAAAATGGTATTAACAGGACTCATCCTGGAAAACCACGTGCCCAGGACAGGAGACGTCAGATTGGTATAAAGGCACACAATCTGCTGCAACGGACGGACGAGACACGGATGTTCGTCCAGGAATCCACTTTTCACAAGTGTGGCTGTAATGTAGTCCTGTGTTCCACTAACACACAGTACAAATCTTCTCTACCTTTTAAAGGCTTTGTCTCAAGCTTCTAAGGAGAAAAGCCTTCAGAAGAAAATGCAAAAGCTGCCAAGTGGCTGAAGACACAAGGGGCCTCAGACCCCACTCTGGCCTTGCTGGTGTGTCCACCACTCACAGGTACCCTGATCCGACTAGAAAATGAAGGCAAGGGAATGAACCCTACTAACTTTTCTACTTAAAATCTCTTAGTGTTTTTTCAAAATTGCTCTAAATAAAGCTAATATGAAAGATTCGATCTTCCTCAAGTATCTCCCCTTGTGGTGATTACCAATCCAGGTAGAAAAAGCTCAGCCCTATCCTCAACATGTTATTTCGAAGTCTCAAACCACAAAGTCACATCAGGATGATACCTGTGTAATGAATCATAGGACCTGTTGTCAAAAACAATCTGATTTTTCCTTGGAGAATCCCGTCTATGAAGGGGAAAAACCATTTAAAGGGAAATACAATAGAGCTTTTAAAAAATAATTCGCACTATGTTCCTGTTTTATAGATTTGTAGTCACAGCAAAACAATGAAAGGAGTCCATTAACCTTAAAACAATAGTTTTTTTCCCCAATACAAAAGAAGATACTTGGACACTAATTCTGGTTATGTAAGATACTCATTTGACAATTACAGAGAACAGAAAGGAAATCGTGGCACAATGACCACTTTTAGAGATTGCAGACATATAGTAAAAGCTGCTACACAAAGTATCAATAAGTATCAAAAATCACTGTAGTTTGAAGTACGCAAAATTAACTCTTCTCAGAAAGAAAGCATGGAAACTCTTTTTCTACCTTGAATATCAGATCTGTGCGCTCTTACTGAAAACCATATGAGAACTCACAAATTTTCCAATGGGACATTCCAATCATAGTTTCAGGTAATTTTAATGACAACATTTTTGCTTTTACCCTACTATCTGGCATCTTCGCTTAATAAATAGAGCATAATGCAGTACACCTTGTGTTGTGTGTATGACAGGGTACTGATCCATCCTATCACTAACATAACCTCGACATGGACATTCCTAAGAGAAAGGGGTACTTTCACCACCACAAAAGGATGAGGTGCGCTTCAATAAAAACAAAACATCAAGTGGCCGTATTAATACACTGGCTCTTAGCAGGAACAGGGGAGAAAACTTGGGACGAAAAGCCATCCAGTTTAGTCCTTCCAACATACTTTTAAAATCTTTCATGGCTTAAAACTGCTTGGGGTGAAACTTTAAGACATGTATCACTGGCTGGATCACATCTATCGAAAGGTATATGAGGGGCGCCTGGGTGGCTCAGGCGTTAAGCGTCTGCCTTCAGCTAAGGACACGATCCCAGAGTCCTGGGATCGAACCCCCGCATCGGGCTCCCCGCTCAGCGGGAAGCCTGCTTCTCCCTCTCCCGCTCCCCCTGCTTGTGTTCCCTCTCTCGCTGTGTCTCTCTCTGTCAAATAAATAAATAAAATCTTTAAAAAAAAAAAAAAAAGGGAATATGAGTGGTCAGGAAACGACGGCGTTTCCAAATTTCCATTTCAGGAAAGGAGAAGAAAACCACCCACCAGAGCAGAACACCATAACGATACACTGCTAGATAATAAGAACCAATATTTGGTTAATCTACAGAAAAGTCTTTTTTAAATGGTGACTTTCAGAACACTTATTAAACTTCCTTTAGAAGTGTGAAAAATCTTTCAAAGAATATTTTTTAAATGAATCCCAAACACACCAAGGAACTTTTATTCCATTTGGAGAACCTATTTCATGTCCCTCCATGGACTTAGGGTTCACTTCAGGCTCACTATGGAACCCGTATCAGTAAGGTAGGGATCAAGAGTAGACACAAAGAGAAAAATTCTTCCCGTCCCATTTATGTCTTCAAAAGACACATGGGACATCACTGTTCTGTTCTCTGATATGTCCTTAATAAATCAGGCTTCAAAATGTGCTCGTGGAGAAAATCTATAAAAACTACCAGAGACGCATTGGAAGGTCACATCAATCAGGTATCTGATAAACACAAATGTGCAATTTTTCTACTCTATTGAGAAAACATGTCCACCAAAAGCAATTCCTGCATTTTCTCCTAAAATCAAACACATTTATCTTATAGTCACTGAGAAACTAAAAGCTTCTATACAGTCAAAAAGGCATTGAAGAACTTAAATAACTGTGTCATCACCGAATCTTTCCTACCAGAACAAAGAACCACATAAAAACAAATCTAAATTTAGATTTAGGCTAACACTGAACAGATCTGTGGCAATGTGAGGTCTGTCCTTGTATTTTTCTATTAGAGTCAAGTTTGCTTTTGAAGAGGTAAAAATAGAGCAAACAACTCAGAAAGAAAAGGCCAAAAACTTTTTAGTCTCTAAACACACACTTTTTTTCTGGAAAAAAATATAAGTCCTTTAAACTGTCTCATAAATCCAGAAAAAGTTTCATCTATGTACAAGACCTGAGATACAAATTTAGTATGACAATAAAATATGCCTAAGAAACGCTGAATTTGCTAAGACCATGCCTCATGGCCACTGGTAGAAATTCACTAGTCTTGTTTCTGGGCACTCTCTTTTCTAAGTTGATTATAACTACAAGTTTCAACTGAGACAGAAGTCAATCTTTCTACTTCACAAATTCAAAACTTCAGGTTTTATTTTGCGCTCTCTTAAAACACTGCAGGCATTTCTCTCCAGCTGCTTTTCAATTTAAAATATAAAAGTTTCTTTTAAAAACGACATTTACAAAATGAAGGATGTCATTGACACTACTGGGGAAATGTGAATATGTTACATAATACCATTGTTCAACGTTAAATTTCTTGAGAGCGACAATGGTACTGGGGTTACACAGGAGGATATCCCAGTTCTTAAGGAAAATGCTGAAGGATTTGCAAACTGCTCTCCAACTCTCCAGAGGAACCTGTGTGGAAGGGAGGCGGGCAGAACTGGTATCTGGGGAATCTGGGTTCCTCCACCATGCTCTCAACTTTTCTGTAGTTCTGAATTTTTCAAAATAAAGAAATTGGGAGGAATAAAAGCTATCTTAAAATTTCAGACAACCTGACTCACAGTAAGCATCCAATCACTAGGAAAAATACGATGGTGCTCAGTGGTCTCCAGCAGAAGGATATTTCATCTGCTCCTTTGTACTATTTCAAATCTACCACTGGAGTTTGGAGAGATTAATTTCTTTTTAGATACATATGTAGCATAAAAGTCAGAAAACAAACATACCTGGAGATAACAGGTGACTTGCTGCCATTCATTGTATTTGTTCTTTCCCAAGGTTTCCTGGTTGGTTCTTTAAAAATAAGGAACATAAGTTACAAAGTATCCTATGTGCTCCCAGAGTTACTTATTGTAAAACAAATAACGAAATACTAACTAACATTATACATGTTTATGTAAGTAATACAAATGAAAAATTTTTAATTACAATTCTGAACTTTAAAATCTGTAAGGATTCTAATTTGTACAACTTCAGACTTTAAAATGAGAAGACGTTAGTAAGCAAGTGTGACAAGCCCCCTGGGAAAGCCACAGGCCGCGAAGTCTCTGACACCGGAAGCCCACACACCAGGAGATGTACGGCCTCTCTAGCAAAGCAGGGCTCCCTATTAGAGATGGAGTTCTCAGCTTGGGGTCTGCATAAGCTTCAGGGAGCACATGAAATTATGAGCAAATCTGTATAAAAATACGGTCATCCCCGGGGTGAGGGGGCGGATTCATAGTTCTTTTCAACTTGTAAACGGTTCTGTGACCCTAACTTACAGTGGAGTTCTACAGTATCAGCATATATATTAATTTTGGCTTCTGGAAGAAAATAAAGCTGTTACAGTAAGTAGTTCATAAACCAGAGAATTTTTAATGAAAGTAACATCAACAAACTGATCTGAGTCCTGTTTAGAGGAAAAACAATTCACAAAGTCACAATATTAACCACAATACAGCCATCAAAATATTGAATAATCACCATTCAATAATGAGAATGTGAGACTTTTTTTTCTTTTTTGGCAAATGGGTTACAATCACCAAAACAGAAGTTTTTTTTAGAATTTCTAAACAGTGGAATTCTAGAGGTCGCTGGTAGTCTCCAACTCAAAATGGGTAGGAATTAACATGGACATTTCTCTATAAACACTTCTCATGGGCCATTCTAGGTATTAATTCATCGAAATTACCAAATTTATTATTCACGTCACGTCATTTCAAAATGGATAAAAAGCTGAACAGGTAGACCAGCTCTTCACTTTAGTCAACACACAAAATGGCACCTCACATCCTCGTCACAGACGCCATGGTCAGGTGCCTCCAGGGAGAGGCACTTTGTCCATATTCTACGGAATATACTCGCAACCTAGAGTCCTCAGTATCAGAAACCTCGCTGAGTTCAACACCACTTCCCCAAAGCTGTAACGAGGCTTCTTTGCTCCTTACAAATGAGAAGCTTTATTTCCCTGATTATCAGTATTACCCCAGGGCATGGCTAAAAGGATAGCGCTCTCCATTTGAGAATGCTTTGACATGGACGTCGGTGCTAACTACCTGCTCACCTAAACCTCACCTTTAAGAATCCCGGACTAAAAGGACTTCCCTTTCATCTGATGATGTATGTCTCCGTGCTCTAGTGAAGAATCTCAAATCATCAACAGCAGTACACATGGAATGTGTAAAAATTATGATTTTCAAAGAAAGAATCATCAGGAAAAAACCTTTGGGTTTTAATGGATCGCTCCATCTCACAAAGGCAGAGGAAAAGCAAGTCACTGCTTTCAAGTGTGAACGAAAACTTTAACGCTTTCATCACCAGGCAGGCACCTGGTCCCAACATGGGTAAATGGGGCATTTTTTAATTGAGGAGTATTAATATCTCGAGAAGGTTCATAAAGGTTAAAATAGACCTCCTGAACTTACCGGGTGTACTTGTCAATGAGGCCTTAGAAATTACGGGCTCCGAATCTTCCTAAATAGACAGAAACACTTATTAATCACATGGCACCCGCCAGAAACCTGGAGCACAGACTCAGGGGCTCACATGCTTCCATGTCCAACACTCCTGCTGCGCTTCCCACTGTGTCCTTCAACAGCCTCCTCTCCGTTCCACTGCAGCCCAGACCTGCCTCCTCTGTCCCCCACAGGCTCCCATCCTCCTGACCACACCAGCCACCGCTACTGAGCCGGACGTTAGCAACAGGCGGGAGGAAGGGTGCCGAAGCCCAAATGCAGTGGGGAAGCAACGGCGGGCACACAGCTAATAACCATGAGGCTCCTAGGGGATTAGTCTAATTCGTTCCTTCTCAACGCAAGGAAACGGAGACCCTAAGAGATTCAGGATATCGAGTGAAGGTACGGCATGTGCTCCACAACTGAGCTCAGTGCCTTCGCCGCGGGTGCCCATGCCCCGCCAGTCGCACACAGAAGGCTATGAAAATGTGATACATCACGCTCGAAACAAGCCATTTCTAATACGTGAAGAGCTGAAATAAGGAATTCTAAGTTCCACCTAATCTCGGATATCGCTTCCTGAATGAGCTACGCCTGGCTTTCCTGTTTCCAGTTGCAGCAGACTCTCTTTATGAACTTACGTTTTTGTCCTCTTTTTGTTCTGTTTCTATTGTTGATCCCTTTTCAGCAATTCTTCTCCTAGAAAGAAGGTAAATCAGATTTTTTAAAAATTCATCTCTTAGTATAAAAACTACTCTGAAAGGGAAGAACTGCATCTAGTTAAATTGCACTTGAATAAAATGAACCCAATCCTCTCAATTCCGAACGTGTTCAACATAGTTTCTCACTCACCTCCTGGCCAGCAGGGCACTCATTTCTTCCATTAGCCCACTGCCTCCTAAAGGAAGGGGTCCATTCCCACGACCCGTGTCTGACTTCGATGAGGCCGGGTTCACACCAATGGTAGTCCCTCCACTTGGTAAAGGGGCATCCTCCGTCTTAATGAGAATATAGACAGATAGTAAACTCCTGTGTTTAGGACATTAATTTCAACAAAAACATCCAAATATTATTTTTTAAATCTTTTTAAGAACCAATGGCGTGACTGGCACTAACTTTATATTAATCATTGGAAATTCCATCCAAGTTTACATCAACAATAATGGAATACAACATTACCACATGCCTCCGCCCTGTTCCATACACTGAGAAGAACATGTCACTCTGGTGGCAAAAAAATGCATAATCTGCAAAAACATGCATAATCCAAAACTAATCTTGAGAAAACTATCGGGGAAACCATACTGAAGGGCAAGCTCGCCAAAGTCAACCTCACGTATGAAACAGTGAGGAACTGTCCCAGTTTTATGGCAAACTCGGGATGTCACAGCTAAACGTACTGAGTGATCTTGGGCTAGAAAGCTGCCGTAAAGGACAGTGTTGGACAATACGTGACATCTGAATACATTTGTAGATTAGAAGAGTCCATCAATTAAACTTGCCAGTCCTGATCATTCTCCAGTGGGCATGTAGGTGAGCGTCCCTGTTCCTACAGACCACACGCCCCAGTGTTCAGGGAGACGGGAGACGCGGTATGTCTGACTCACTCTCAATTCAGACAAAAAGGGAGAGTGTGTGTGTCCCGCAGAAGGAAATACATGCACACAGAGAAGAATTGAGCAAATACGGTAAAATGTGAAGTGGTGAGTCTGCGTGCTGGGTTCAGAGAAGCTATATTCTCTCTTGAGTATAAATTGTCTCGAATTTTTTAATCAGTGAGGTAACACAGGGTTCATGAAATGAGAAGACAGTAAATCCGCTATCCCAGCTACTGAGGGAGAATAGGCACAAGCAGAAAAGCACAGAGACGTGGAGGTGCATTTACCCGGGACACTTTCCTCAGTTTCGCTCCAGCGATGGCAGCCGCAAGTCCAGTCAAAGGGCGATTGTCTTCAGACGCGGATCCGGCAAAAAATCCAGATGCAGGGAGCGGCGGAGCAGGAGGCGGAGGGGGAGGGGGGGGCGCTTGATTAGGAAGAGGGGGCGGAGGGGGCGGGGGCGGAGGCCCTGAGGCGGGGAGCGGAGGGGGGGGCGGAGGCCCCGGGTGGGGGGGCAGCGCTGCTGGAGCCGGGGGGGGGAGCGGAGGGGGGGGGCGGAGGGGCAGGTGGTCCCAAGACAACGCCTGAGAGAAAGAGATGTTAAATAAGACGGTCAACAACAGAGCCGCGGGCGCGATCTTGTGGAAAGGGATGCAGGATGCCATGCTAAATTAAGTGGCCTCAGACATTTACTACCTATTAATGAGTTCCATTTAGCATAACGTTTAAAGTCTAGATTGGTGTTCAAAAGATACTAAAATGCAAAGCAAAGTATCTAACATCTTACTTCAGTGTTAGAGCTTTATTAACAGAACTGTGAGACAGTCACCTAGCTACATCTTTGGGGCTTCATGGGGCCGTTTAAGTGCTTATAAAGTCTGTGATGGAGGCGGCGCCCCTGAAGAAGCAAGCCCGTGTGTATGACCGCAGTTAGAGCTGTTGGAAGTAACAGACCCCCAAGAGTCTGTGTGAACCTGTAAAGGTTGAGACCCTTAAGCCTACCATAGTGAAGACCGGTATTTAGGCGCTGACAGATGGCCGCAGTGGCTGGACTGAGAACAGGAGGGAGGGGCGGGTCCCCAGGTCAGCATCTTCAAAAATGTTCTACCTTTAACCCCAATGTGTACAGAATCACTGAAGTAAAGGAATCTACTAGAACAAAGCACAACCTGAAAGTAACTACCAGAAATAACTAAACGATACAGAACTTGAAGTTCCTTTTAGTCTAGAAGACAGGGGTAAGAGAGAAATGTCTCCAAATCCTGTAAAATCACAAAGAGAGTGAACGAGAACTTACTCAGTATCAGAAGACCGACCTAGTAGGCACTCTCCCTCCTTGAAGTCTTTTAAAGGGGTATTTTAGGACAAATAAGATGTTATTTGCACACTGAGGGGCAATTTTTTGAAACTGAAACACCAGCAGCTCTTAGAGGAACACAGAGCAACGGACTGCCTCCCTCCCTCTGGCTGTGGGCTTGTAAGGGTACAGCAGGTGGGTCACGGAACGTTGTCAGGCTCACTGTGCCCCCTTGTCCGGCATTACCATCACGTGACACGAGTCTGCACGTACTAGAATTCTGACTCTGTTTAAGCAAAATCGATGCATCAACGGGAAAAACATAGACACAGCAATAACAGGTCTTATTACTTATCCTAAGAACAAAGATTTTTTTTTTAAAGAAGGGTACTTAATTAAATCCAGGCTATGACACCGTTTCTTTCTACATTCAAATTAGTTGTCATATTCCTTCCTGTGATTCTTGCTAAATCCTATCTTTGAAAAAAAGTGTTGCCAAGTGTCTTCTTAGTCACTTATGGAACCAGGTCCTTCTCTACTTAGAAATAATTCAAACTTAGACGATTACATCCTCCCTCCCGTTACCATGACGGCCGGTTGGGGCGAGGGGAGGCAGTGGGGGGGGTAACTGTGGAGGGGGCTTGTTCTCTTCCAACTGCCCCTTCAGGCCACTACTTCTTGTACTCCTGGAGCACGGAATCCCCTGGGGCGTACATCAGGCCTGCAACGCTCCCCACCCCTCGTGCAAAGTAGGGCTGCTCCTCAGGATTTGGGGTGTACCTAGTCCAATGTGGGAAGCCCAATACAGGAGAGGCCAATATGTAACAGGGCCCAAGAATCAGAACGGTTCAGGAGGAGACTCGAGGATGACACATCTCATGACTTCAGTTGGGCACCAAATAGCATCTCTCAATTTCCCACAAAGTAAAGGAAGACAAGTTAGGCAGGCCATGTATTTATCGTGTAGAGAAATGTGTCAAGTAACGTTTTCCTAGTGGAGATTTACAGGGAATGTGTTGCGGAGGCCCTCAAATGCCGAACACCCCTCCGGCTACGATACTGTGGAAGACACGAAAATCCAAAGCAGTGCGGACACTCCCCACCTTGATCCTCCGACCGTACTTAATCCAGCAGAAAGAGCCTCACTCATCTTGGACTTGTTTAAGTTACACAGGGTTGGGCACAGTGACACAGGGCTGTTCACCTACCAGAACCACCCTCCCCGTGCCTCTAGGCAGTGACCACCGCGGATACACCACGTTTCCAGGGTGCGCTGTCAGTAGCAACAACGGAATCCTTACCCTGTTGGGCTGGAGTCTCGGCCGGCTGAGAGGCTGCCTGCAAGCCTGGCTCAGAAGCAGAGGAGTCCCCCAGCACAGAGTTTAGAGGAGTCTCCGCAGAGGCAGGGGCAGCTGCAGAGGGAGAAGGGAGAACACTAGGCTTGGATGAGGGAGTTGAGGCAAGAGGGGTGCTTGGAGGAGGAGAGGCTTGCGATCCACAGTGTGAGCGCGGTGCGAGGGAAGGCAGCGGAGGTGGAGGCGGCGGCGCTGCTGGCCCTGAGGTAGGCGGTGGGGACACCGGACACGGGACAGAGTCAAGCGGCCCATTGGGTGCTGCTGGTGACGGAGGCATTGGGGGCACAGGAGAAGAGACACAAACAGGAAGGACAGGCCTCGGACCGGTCGCTTTGCCTGGGGGGCTGCTAATCATTACTGGAGGAGACGGAGGGAGGGGCGCGACAGTGGAAGTAGACCAGGCACAGGGCTTCGTAGCCGGAGGCTGAGAAGAGGGTGTGTTCGCAGGAGAAGGAGGCCGAGAGGTTTTGTTCAGAGGACGAGGAACTGTAGCGTAATGGGGAAGAACGGGGTGGAAGGCTGAACCTACAGATGCAGCAAAACGTGTCGCTGAGTGTCGAAGTGGTGGTGTAGGGGGTGTGGAAGGAGGTGGCAAAGCGGTCACTACAGCAGAGTCAGGAGTGGCCTCCGACACTGGAGCGGAGATGACTTTAGCATAGGATGGAGGAGGTGCCGAAGGAGGCTGGCAACTGGCATACTCAGGAAGTGGCGCGCTATACGGGGAGCTGTCGGAGGATGGAGCTGCACAGAAGGTGGGGAGCAGCAAGGACAGGGTAAAAAAGGAGAGAGAAAAAGGGAGCTAGTAAAGCGACAAAACCAGCATTCAGACAAAATGTACACATGCAGACCACAGCTCGTACCCACGAACTAAGCACATGTGCAAGAACTGACCTCACCCGACAACGTGGGAACTTGTTCGTGCATTTTGAGACCCAGAGGAGGAAGAACTCAGTTTTCTTTTTAGCTGATAAGCACACGGATAAATTAAATGGCTTAGCTTATCCTTTGCACGAACAAGACTGTATCTTGAGTCTCATTATTTAGCCCACTAAAAGGACATTAAAATTACATGAATAGGACCACAAACAGAAGCCTACGTCTGCTGGTCTTTTAGGAACAACAAATAGCGAAACTGGTAAAAAGTTTTATAAAGGGCTAGGAACCCCCTATTCGATACTTATTTGTGGATAAGTGTTGTTCTGCTGGCCATCACCCCAGAAAATAATTAGGCAGTTAAAAACAAATTATTGCAAACAACGAACCAATCGACCACACCGAGAACCATACTGAGACCTTTGATACAGGCCATATGGAATAGAAAAATTTCTTAAATCCTATTCCAATCAATGTCAATTTTAACGTATGTCTCAAACTTTCAGTTTTCTCTTAACCCTTATGTCTTTCAATAAATTCCACCAGACTTGGAGATTTTCATTAAAAGTTTGCAATACTGGGACATCCATAAAATACTAGTCAGTTGTAGAGAGGGTATTTTCCTCCTCGGACAACTCTAGAGTGCCGTCAAGCACACTTCTTGAATCCTATAGGACTCAGGACAGTTTAAGCAGCCTCCGAAGGATCATATATTCCTAGTTCACCCGATATAAAACATTTCCCATAAAAAGACACTTGCACTTTACAGCCAATTTAGAGCGAGTCAGAAGAATTAGAAAGCCGGACCACACAGAGCTTTCCTAAGTCTCCAAGCAGTAAGTGCCACACAGAGAGGACTAAGAACTGGCAAAGTAGCAAGTGCTGCCCGTTTGCCCTGTCCGCCCGTCCTGCCTGCCTGCCCCCCCCCCCCCCCCCCCCCCCCCGCCCCCCGCCCCCGCGGCAGAACGAGGCGCGCACTTCTTACCAGCCGACAGCCTGCGCTCCCGCTCGCGCTCCCACTCCAGCTGCTCCTGCCGCTCCCGCTGCTCCCGCTGCTCCCGCTGCTCCCGCTGCTCCTGCCGCTCGCGGTCAAGTCGCTCCAGCCGCTCGCGGTCAAGCCGCTCCCGGTCAAGCCGCTCCAGCCGCTCGCGCTCCAGCCGGTCCTGCCGCTCGCGCTCCCGCTGCTCCCGTTCGCGCTCCCGCTGCTCCCGCTCGCGCTCCAGCTGCTCCTGCTCCAGGCGCTCCCGCTCCACGCGCTCCCGCTCCACGCGCTCCACGCGCTCCCGCTCCACACGCTCCAGGCGCTCCCGCTCCACGCGCTCCCCGCGCTCCCCGCGCTCCAGCTCCTTCTGTCGCTGCTGCTCTTGCAGCTGCCTGAAATTTAAATACTGAAAAAATCAGAACTGTGCAACAAGGGCCACTCACCCAGTCCCTGAGATGAACCTATGCGCGCCTCGGTCGTGAAGCAGACACAAAGCGGCCGGATCCTGCAACCCACATCTGCCAGTGAAGAAACGGGACACACATGACGGCGACGTAGCCAGACCATCTGCACAGGACACTGGCGTCTCGCTCCACTCTGCACTGTTCATGGGGAAAGTGCTACAATAAATGAAGGCCACGTCCTTGTGTCAGATGCTCCTCTGAGGAAACACCATGGCTGGCCACAGCCGAAGCTCGACAGCAGTGGGCATCATTTCCTTTCGAGTCCTGTCCCTACTGCAGCTGAAGGATCACTACCGGCAGGCCGGCTAGGGGAAAAGCTACCGCATCTTGAGATTCTGGATACATGGCTCCAAACTGTGCTCAGGCACGGGGGCTGGGCTCCCCAGCAGCCCAACAGATGGGAATTCCCTTTCTCCTCTCCAACACCGAACGCGATCACCGTTTCCAATGGCGGCAGCGGAGAGCCTGCTCCCAGACAGACGACCTGCGTCCTGCCCTCTCGGAGCGCACCGTGAGACACGGCCGCACGTGCTCTCCCACTGGCTTGCTCAGGACAGAATCATATTCCCTACTCACTTGAAGAGCTCCTTTCTCTATCAAAGGTAATAACCCTTTGTCACAAACGCTGGTCATAACGTACTTTTAACTTTTAGTATGGCTTTTTAGGTGCCTTTGATTTTTAAAGTTTCATTTAAAAACCGTAATGTGTTAACTTTGTTAAAGTTGTGATCTGGCTTGTAACTTTTACATAGAAAGTCTAGTGCTGGTATTCCTCTACGTGACCTGCCTTTGCGATCTTTCTTGGCCCCTTCTCACAACAAGGTTATATGATTACATGTTTTTTACAACAAAATCCTTAGTTCATATGAAATTCATCTTGGGTTTGGGATGTGTGGTACTGAGTGAGCTATGTCACAGCACCATTTAGAGTCGCTCATGGCCCTGATTTAGGATGTCACCTTTATGTTGGTTAACAGTTACTGAAATTCCAGAATGTTTCGGTTGCTGGATCTGTTTAGTACAGCACCAGTACCTTGATACTGTGACATCTGAAATAAATATCTAGTAGGGTGCAACTATCCTCATCACTCTTCTTTTTGACTTTTTCTAGATGGTTCTCAGATACTTAGCTTCTTCTGGGTAATTTTCAGGATCACTTTGTTAAATTTACCCCTTCTGCCAAGACCTATCCTTCTCAATCCTATTTAACACTTTATTAAATTTGAAGATCAATGAGAAAAACACTGTCTTTTAATCTCCTTGTCTAAGAATGTATGGAATGTCTCAGTATTTATGCAATTAAATTAAAAATCTTTCACTCTAGGACTTCAAACGCCGTGATTATATTCAAACCTAAAGAGGCCCAATGTATATGGCTCTGAAACATACAGTCTGCTTTTAACTTCCATACATGTACATAACAGAGCAAGCAAATGTCTCCAAGTACCCACTCGGACCTAAACGACAGTCTTGCTCTAAAAGTTAACTCTCCCCAAAATAAAAAACCGCCCCATGTTACACATAACATATTTCATAGCATTGTGGGTAAGATTAAATGAAGCAATGCCTTAAAAATCTCTTTAAAAAGTCCCTGGGGCATAAGAACACTCAATTAATGTGAGCTACAGTCAGGAATTTCATATAAGGACTTTTCTTGGACTGGCTAATAAACCGCTGGGTCCCCGGAGAGGCAGACCTAAGTGACAGAGCATGGATGGCCAGGCTTTGTCCCTCCCAGCACCACCAAGAAGCCACTAAGATTTCTCCAGAAATCTCTCCCTTTCATGTTTCCTAAACAGACTATAAGAAGGAAAAAGCCCACTTGACAAGTGAGCCAATCCCCCTTGTCTCAGAAAAGCAGGAAGGCTCTCTCCAGGCCTATCCCCGTCCTTAATGGTACCTGCATGGGGGGCGGGGGGGCAGCGTGCCTAGAGCAGTACTCAGTGCGAGCAGTTGCTGGGTCACACACCGGCTACAGAGTTTTAGGGCAACGCTGCCAGACAAAGCACCAGCTACCACAGCTTCTGAGGGGTAACAATATTGCTTCAGGAGTGAAGGCAAAAATCTGGGGTATTCACAAGGATGTTCTCAATAATAAATCAGAGAAGAGTTGGTTCTTTTTGTAATGACCTCTAATAAATGAACTCGGCTGGGACTTATATTTAAAACACACCGTGTGTGTCAAAAAATGCGAGCCTACTCTATAATGTGATACTCGAAACAATCTACGTGGTCCAAAAGGGAAAGATACACCAGAACTATTCTAATTAGAATACACCTCTGTCCAGAAGCTAAGGGAAACTGTTTAGCTTCGGAGTACGACAGCTCACCAAGAAACCTAGGATGAAAAGATACAAGTTCCTAGGCCCTTTTCCGTTTCCATGCCACCTCTTTTGTTTTATTCTTATCAACATAATACAGGTACATAAAGCTTATTAACAAAAACCAACAATTAAATTGCTCTAACCTTCCCACCCCTGTTTCCAATTACTGTCAACTCTTCGGACATTTCTTTTAACTTCAGATACTGCCTACAAGTAACTCCTATGGCTCCCTCACCACACCCAAGCCTCTCCCAGCACAACCACAGGAGAATACACATTCCTGGTGTAATCAATATTCAGAGTCTACATCATTAATACAGCTACACCATACAGTATCCTAAGACTACACTGCATTTCTCTTCTTTTCTTTATTTAAGTAATCTCCACACCCAACGTGGGGCTTGAGCTCATGACCCCAAGGATCAAGAGTCACACGCTCTTCCAATTGAACCAGCCAGGTGTCCCACACTGCATTTCATATTGACATTCTTTGGTTTGATTTGTTTTGTTGTTGTTTTTTAAATATTTTATTTATTTATTTGACAGAGAGAGACACAGTGAGAGAGGGAGAAGCAGGCCTCCCGCGGAGCAGGGAGCTTGATGCGGAGCTCAATCCCAGGACCCTGGGATCATGACCTGGGCCGAAGGCAGATGCCCAACAACTGAGCCACCCAGGGGCCCCTTTGTTGTTGTTTTTACCTCCCAGCTCATGGCCACTCCTTCAAGTAACACAATGCTTTTATCACAAAAAGTAAGCTTAAGCCATAGGCAGAAAGCCAGGTCTCTAAGAATTATTGCATAACGACATTTACAGCCAGGGAGTCCTGACTTAGGAATATTATTCCACATGTCAGAACATAATATTTATTCGAGGGTTTTCAGTCTTTAAAGATCAAGAACATCTCCTGATGTAGGAGAGGAGTATGAGGCCAGAGAGATTCTCCAAGTTCACGGACAGTGAGTGGAGCAGGCAGTTCATACAGCTGCATGAGATTCTGCTATTTTCTTAATTTGAAGGGGAAAAAAGGAGGTGATAAGAGTCCCTGGCTAATCTTTAGCCTGCTCACTGAAAAGATGCACATCTAAATATATTTCCCAAAGTAGTGTGTCAAAAAGAAAATCACAGGCTTACAGATCTTTAGTAGCATGAATAATTGCCACCTAAATTGGACAATATATAAACCTGACATTTATGTTTTGACCTCTAAAGCAAGACATCTGTATTATCTTTTTAGGGGACAGTTTCCAAGTTTATAAACCCTACTTTTCTTAGAAATATCACTGCCGACTCACAGACAGGAAACGCACATGACTCTTCTTCCCAGAGCTTTGTCTACAACTGTTCTTACTCACCGTTAGAAACATCTGAAGACTTTTTCAAAATACAAGGGCTTGAATTCTGAACTACGCAAAAATTCTGCCAGACTAACTTTTAAGCTAGGATATGTGTTTTACATTAACCTGAAAGTCTGAGAAAATATACATGTTTTCAAAGACAATTATAGTGCAAATGACCAATATTATAGCCACCAAGAGCATTTAAAGAACATTAGAAATAGTTCCTCCCACCACCAAAATACCTATTTCCTCGAAAGAGCTATCCCCAAATGCAGAGATGCCCAAAGCACTAGCCAAAGGTAATAGCTTTTTCTTAAATACATTCGGACATAGATTTAGTTTATGTAGATGCAAAGACTTCTTGTTTTTAAAGCAAGCAAAATATAATTAAAGTTTAAAAATACATTTCATTCAGTTTTACCTATGCGGGAGAGTGTTAGGTAGGTCAAGAATGATTTAAATTTTGACTCAATGAAGTAGAGGAGAGCAGACTTGGAAAACGATCTGAGTTGATAACATTTAGTAACACTACAATGTTCCTGACATTTGTCAGGAAAAAAAAAATTACATGAATAGTTCTGATCACATCATGTGGGTATCTCACTTCTCTATTAGCAAACAAACAAAAGGAGACAAAACGAAACAAGACAATCAAGATGTAACCTTACAGGGCCTGTACTTACAGGAGGAGGCGGTCGACTCTTGGTCCATCCTGCCTGTGAAGACCAAGTGGAGGGCTATAAACCCTCATTGCTGCCCTGCTGCTTGGGTGCTGGGATGACCAGTCCCCTTTTATAACTTTCAAGTAGTGGTGCTGATCTGCTAACTATTTATAGACATTAAGTAAATTGAGCTCTATGCTGAGACTAAACACAGGACTGACTCATGTTTCTTAAATATGTTTTTCATCACTGTCAGAGAAGCCAAATATTAATAATATGAGTGGACACCAAAAACTGATATTAACAAATGAAACAAAAATGAGTAGAAAACCAAGCTATACCACCATCATGTGACGAAAGGAAAGGTACAGGACAGATTAACATCCAAAGGAAACATTCATTTCTTCAACTCGAACTCACCCTCATTAAAGTAAAATAATGAAAGGTATAAAATACACACACAGTAGGACAACAAAGCTTGTAACAAAACAGGAATCCCTTCCCCGGGAAGGGACCCTCCCCGCTCCTGATTTCGCTCTCCAGAAGCAACTACTTTCAATCTGGTACTGACACAGTGATTTGTTCCAAGCGGCTTCTTCTTAGT